AGAGCCATTTCAAGGCTCTTTCAGGATTAGGAGAATGAGACCCATCATTGTTACTGGTATTTGGCATATTGAGTAGGACACGGGAAGTTTGCCAGACTCTGCCGTGCGGGTATCCTGCCAGGTTCTCCAAAGAAAAAATAAGATAATAACAATAATAGTAATAATAATAATAACAGTGCTGTCTTTCATTGTATCAGTGAATGTAATGTACTACATTGTATCAGTGAATCTATAATGTACTGAGTAAATCGGCCCTCCCGTTGATCATCGATTTGCTCGAGCGGGCCCAGTAACGTCTCCATTGGAGACTTTGTTGTTACTGTGTCTGGCATATCGAATACGTCACGGGGAGCTTGCCAGGCTCTGCCGTGCGGGCGAGATACTCTCGGTAGCTTGCCAGGCTCTCCTAAAGTTCTTAAAAAAAAAGCCAAAATGGAAACCAGAGTTTATATATATATATAATATATACTTGCTCTGAAAGGAGTTGGGGGGAAGGGGGTGGCCTTAGGGTTTTCTTGGCTGGTCATCAGATATCTTCAAAACATGATCTGTACCCATCTTTGTTTTACCAAGACACTGGTGACGTGTTATATATATGCACACAGAATTGAGATGCATTTAGCACTGAACACGAGTTTCAGGTAGAGAACAGAATGATTTTTCTCTTTACCTATACAAATACTCACACCCAGAAGTCAACTCCCCCCACCCTTCACAGTGGCAATTCTTCTTCTTGTGACTGAACTTTTAAGATGTCGCCTCTCAGCTGCCTTCGCACAGACACACAACGCATCCTGAGCACACGTCACGGCTATGTAACTGCAGGGGTCCTGCCCTGCCCTCTCCCACCGCCATCCGACCGCTCTCCTGCGGGAAGCGTCTGCCCTGGACGTCAGCGCGTTCTGCTCGCTGCAGCCCTCGGTCTGGTCTCTGCGTCTGTGAACGTGGCTTTGGGGCTTTTGTTTTCCCAGATTCCACCTCAGTGAGATCATGGGGCGTTTGTCTTTCTCTGGCTATTTCACTCAGCACAAGGCCCTCGGCATATATTCAGGTTCTTGCAAATTGCCAGGCTTCTTCCTTTTCCTTTTATTTATTTATTTTGAAATCGCCGAGCGTGTGTCTGTACACGGGCAGAAACAGCCCCCGCCTTTACCGTGTCTCCACGGACGGACAGCGTTGGTTCCGTGAGCAACGCTCCGGCGAACACAGGCCCACGTGCTCACGTCTTTCCGTTTCCATTTTCTCAGCGTCAGCGGGGTTCAAACGAGCTTCCCCACGTTTGCCCTCGGGAGAGCTCGGAGCATTGTGTCCAGAACGTAAAGGGAAGCGAACTGGGATTTCCTCCCCAGAACAGCCATCTGGAGATTATTCGAAAGTGCGCCTGCCCTCCCATGGGGGTCAGGAAATGAGTTTAGACCTGGAAGGGAGGGAAGGAAGACCTTCTGCAGGGGTGGGTGGGATGTGGCAGTGAGCAGGAGGGAGAGAGGGGGAGGGGGAGGGGGACTGGCCACCCTCCAGGTGAGGAACTGCTCCTGGGGCCTGAGCTGGCGCCTGTGTCCTCCCTGCAGTGGCCCTGGGGGGGGGGGGGTCCCTGGGCTCCTGGTGCGGGACACGCCAGGCTGTCCTGACCCCCTGCCTCTGACCCCGCGGGTTACTCTGAGAGACGAAATTCACCCCGCAGCGCAAATCAGGGCCCAAGAACTTTGGTTCTATGTGACAGGGTTTGGAGCCGCCTGTTTGCTCTTCACCTGCCCAGGGCAGTTGTGGTCACTGGTATGACCCACCAAGCACGTGGCTCCCTCAGTGCTGAGCTTTGGGGGGAGGAATCCACAGGAGGGGGGGTGCAGTCCGGAGGCGTCACCTCACAGCGAGGAGTACGGGGTCGGGGGTGAGGATGGTGGAAGGACTCCGCACGGGGCTTGTCCCCCTAGACAGCAAGGTGCAAGGCTCTCTCGGGGCTGCAGTCTGGCTGGGAGGGGGGCAGATGGTGTCCCCTGCGGGGTCGCCCAGGGGGTCAGCGGGACTGGCCCCGCCCCAAACACTGTCTCTCACCTTCAGGGCTGGGGTGAGGACCTGTGGCAAAGTGGGCGGTGCGGCGCCCTCCTCTCGGACCTCAGGTCCAGGCCCTTTGGGGGTTCTCGTTAGTCACTGCCATGAAGCAGACTCCAGGCTCTGGTTCCCGGAGCCCTGACCTACACCCCTGTAACCCGACACCCAGTGGCGGCTGGGCAGGTGACCCAGGAACGCCCTGGCCTGGTCCCTCCTAGGGCCAGGGCAGGGCCCCGGCTCCCAGCGGCCCTCAGCCTGGCTGCTGCCTCCTCACCTTTATTTGAGCCCCCCCGCCCCGCCCCCCGTTACCACAGATTTCCAAACGCCGCGTTTAAACTCCGAACTCATGGAGCGGCAGAGAAAAGTTCGGCGATGGGGAGAGACCACAGGCCAGGCCTGCGCCGAGTCCCGGCACTCACCGCCCTCCCTCCCTCCATCGCCATCGTCACTGTTATCCAACACGGACGGCACCGAAACTCCGACCAGACTGTCCACAGCACGGACTCCCATGCCCGGGTCTGTGCTCTCCCCATGGGCCCAGGCCCCCCCCCTTTTTTTTTTGGTTTTGCTTTTCGGGTCACACATGGCAGCATTGCACAGTGCTCTGCACTCCTAGCTCTGCACTCAGGAATTACCCCTGGCGGTGCTCAGGGGACCACATGGGATGCTGGGAATCGAACCTGGGTCGTCCGCGTGCGAGGCAAACGCCCCACCTGCTGTGCTATCACTCCAGCCCCCCCACCCCGTCTCTTTGCCTTTATTCCGTCACTGGAATGCCCTGGAGAGGCTGCAGCTGCGGCCAGACTGTCTCGACAAAGAGCAGGCGCGGTGAAGGGCGTCCTGCCTGGCTCTGAAGAGACACGTCTTCATGCTCACGTCTGTGTCCACCGAGAGGGGACAGTATCCACCCTGACCTTCCTCCCACAGGACGCTGACGCACCAGGTGTGCACAGAACCGCCCCCCCCGGGGCTGAGTGAAGTCCCCTTCCCATCCCTGCACGGCCATCAGCGCCAGTGAGCACTGAGGCAGGAGCAGCCTCTGAAGGCTGCCAGGCAACCCCTCCCCACCACAGAACAGAAACAACAGCAGCGAAGGGGCAAGTGCGGCTCACCACAAGCCTCGAGCCGGTCCCTTCGGCCCTACCGGCTGCCACACCGCGCGGAGGGGCGAGTCACGGGGTCTCCAGGAAGCTTCTGGTCTCAAGCCATGACTCGGCCACCCCCCAGAGGCTGCGATGGGCTGGGCTGGCGGTTTTCTCTCTGAGTGCCATTTCGCCACATGCGCAAACACTGCCAGCCTGGACCCAGGTGTTAGTTCCAGGATCTTTCCACTGAGGTTCTGGTCTGGGACCCACTTCCATCACCATCGTCATCAGCACAGGGGCCTCCCGCAGGCAAAGCAGGTGCTGTTCCCTTGAGCCGCACCCCAGCCCGATCTCTCCTGATGGGGCCCTGTTTGTGGCTCTGACAGATCCCACCACCCCCCAGTGACATCGGCTTATTCAAGCCCTTTGGATAAGCACTTGGTCCCTGTCACCCTCTCGCTGTGGGGAACACTGAGCACGCCTGTGCCCGCGTACTTGTCCCAGCACCCAGGAGGGACACTTTCTTTAAGCTGAATCCCAGAGGAGGAAAAGCCACACCCACAAAGAGCCACCTTGAACCCGGCCGAGGCCTTCAGGTCTGGGCGCCCCAAGTCCCATCAGACTCTCCGAAACATGACTTTCAAAAGTCAAACGCCGGGGGTTGGAGCAAGCACAGCGGGTAAGGCGTTTGCCTTGCAAGCGGCCAACCTGGGTTCGATTCCCAGCATCCCATATGGTCCCCTGAGCACTACCAGGGGTATTTCCTGAGCACAGAGCCAGGAGTAACCCCTGTGCATTGCCGGGTGTGACTCCCCCCAAAAAAAAGTCAAACGCCACTCTCCAGGGCGTCTCTCCCAGAAGGAGTGCAAAGGCGTCAAAACTTTCTCAGCTTATTGAGGAGGGAGGCGAGGGAAGGTGGGAGAGGTGGTGGGAGGCCGTAGGGCCCCTGCTTGACCAAAGACTCTCCGGGCAGTGCCTGGCGGTGAGCGTGGTGTCTGTTTCCCCAATGCTAAAGAGCCACAGTGGACAATGGCATATTCCAGAACATGAACTCACCCTGGGGGTCCGGGGGATGCCCAGTGTGACATTACAGGGAGATTCGTGGGAAGGATGGCTGTCCTCCTGGTTCTTACTTTGGGTACATTTCTTTTCTTTTTTGGGCGGTGGGTGGGGGCGTTCTAGACTGTGCTTGGGACCCCTGTGGCCATTTCCAGTGATACTCGGCCAATGGGGCCACGTGGTTTGGGGTCCAGCGCTTCTGGGGGCCACCTAGCTGCATCCGGTGGTGTGTGGGTGTCCACAGGCTATGGTGGCGGGTGTTTGGGGGTCCCCGCCACAGGATCCAACTGCACATCCAAGGCAGATGCCCCAAACTGGCACCAGACCATTTATTCTTTCCATTTTTTTGTGCCACCGGGGCCGTGTTCAGGGCTTACTCCTGGCTCCGCGCTCGGGGATCCCTCCTGGGGGGGGGACCATTCGCGGTGGGGGGCGCAAGGCCAGCGCCTGACACCCCAGGACCCAACACAGCCCCGGTGCTGGGCAGCATGGATTAAAAACTCCGGGCTGGGGTGGCGGGAAGGGGGCGCGGCTCTCGGGACACATCATCCCCGAGGTGGGGACCGTGGGGCTGTCGCGTCCCTTCACGACTCACGCCGCGTCCGCTCGCGTTCAGCTCTCCCCTGGGCGTGGGGTCGGGGGTGGGGGAGACGCGTGGCAGGGGCCGCAGCCGGGGACCCCGCGCCGCCCCCCACGGCCGAGAGTTCCCGCCGCCCCAGAAACGGAAAGAGAAAAAAGTCCGGGCGCGCCGCCCGGCCCCGCCCCGCGTCCCGCCCCGCGTCCCCGGCGGCGTCCGGCCCGGGGGTCCCCGGGGCGCGCCCTGTCCGCGCGCGGGGGGTCGCTCTGCCCGAGCGGCGCGCGCGGGGCGGCGGCGGGTCGGGGTCCCGAGCGCGCGGCCCCCGCGTCCCCCCGGCCGGGCCGGGCGGGGGGCGGACACGGCCGCACGCCCGGGGCGGGGAAGCGCCTTATAAAGGGCCGCGGCGCCCGCCCCGCGCACTCGCCCGCAGCCCCGCCGGCCCCGCTCCGGGCGGACGCACGGACCGACCCGGCCCGCCCCGCGCTCCCCGGCCGGACGGTCCCGGCCGCGGACACACTTTGGACTCGTCCGGCTCGGGACAGGCCGCGCGGACCCGGCTCGGACGGACCCGGCTCGGGACAGGCCCGGGCGGACTCGGTTCCGGACAGGCCCGGGAGGACACGGTTCCGGACACGCTTTGGACCTCTGCGGGCAGTGACCGGCCTCGGGAGAACGCGGCTCGGGACAGGCCCGGCCCCGGACACGCTTTGGACCCCTGCGGGCAGTGACCGGCCCGGGAGGACGCGGCTCGGGACGCGCCCCGGCCCCCGGCGGCCCCCGGCGGGCGATGCGCGCGGCCCGGCATGGCCTCGGCCGTGTTTGAGGGCACGTCGCTCGCCAACATGTTCGTGCGCGGCTGCTGGGTCAACGGCGTCCGCCGGCTGGTGGTGAACCGGCGCGGGCACGAGGAGGAGTTCTTCGAGATCCGCACCGAGTGGTCGGACCGCAGCGTCCTCTACCTGCACCGCAGCCTCGCCGACCTGCGCCGCCTGTGCCAGCGCCTCCGCGACGCCTTCCCCGACGGCCGGCCCGAGCTGGCGCGCGCGCCGCTGCGCCAAGGTGCGGGCCCGGGGCGCGGGGCGCGGGGCGCGGGGCGCGGGGCGCGGGGCGCGGGGCTGGGGGCGGGGCGCGGGGCTGGGTCCCGGGCGCGGGGCTGCGCAGGGGGAGGGGCGGGGAGAGGGTCTCTCCCCCGAGAAGCGCGCAAACGCACTTGCCAGGGCGGGTTGCGCGTGGGGGACCCCGGGTAGGGACCTCGCCCGAGGTCTCAGCTCTGCCCTCTGCCCTCCGCTCGGGACACAGGACGCTTCGCCCACCCCCGATCGGGGTCCGGGGCCTGGGCCCGCAGGATGGGCGCCCTGACCGCCCTCCGAAGGAAGACGTCAGTCCCTGCCGGGACCCCTCGGCAGGAGGGACCCCACCCTGCCGGGCCGCGCGGGGCGGAGCGGCGGGCGGGTCCCGCGGGGCTGGGCGGGGCCCCCAGCCGAGCCCTGGCCGCGGAGTCCGGTGGCCTGCCACGCGGCCTGTCACTTGCCTGGTGGGGGCAGGCAGGTCCCCGCCCTTCGGGGTGGGTCCTCTGTGAGGTTTGAGGCGCTAAGGCCACCCCCGGGCCTTGTGACCCCATCTGGCCACTGGAAACGCCCCCTCCCGCAGCGGCCGGAGTAGGTAGCGCAGCCGAAGTGGGGAGGGGAGGGGAGTGCCGGACCCGGGCAGGTGGAGGGTTAGAGCTTCTGAGTCCCCGCCTCCCGCAGGTGACCCGGCACCCCCTCTTGCAGAGCCAGGAGCCTGGTGGCACTTTGGAGTGTAGTGACCTCAGGCCCCCCCAGTCCCCCCCTCGCCTGAGTCCCCAGATAAACTCTTGCCCCGTTCCCAGACCACACCCACCTAAGCGCCTGAAGGGGTCATCACTGTCCCCCAGCAGACACAGGGGAGAAGCCCTGTGCGGCCACCAGCAGGTGCTGCACCCTGGGGAGTCCCTGTGGGGCCGCTGAACTTTGGCTGAGTGGGGAGGAGGTTCCGGGCTGCAGTCCTGGGAGGCGTCTCAGGGGAAGGGGCAGCCCGGACTGTGCTGTTTTCTTTCTGTTTGGTTTGTTTGTTTTGGGGTCCCATCTGGAGGAGCCAGGGGTTCCTCCTGGCTCTGCCCTCAGGAATTACTCCTGGAGGTGCTCCGGGGTGCCAGGACTTGAACCCGCATCAGCTGCATGCAAGGCAAACGCCCTCCTTGCTGCTTTGCTTGGCCCTAAGTGTGGACGCGGAGAGAGGCGCCTGGAGCCCCGCCCGTGCTCCTTCCTGGCCTCCCGCCCCTCCCATCCCCTCACAGGCCTCTGGGCCCCGCTGCCTTTTCTGGCCGAGAGGAGGCAGTGATGACGTCCGGCAGGAGCCCTCGGAGATGCCCCTGGCTTGCCTCGTGCCCGGCGAGTCCTGACTGGGCCAGGGCTGGAGTCCTGAGGTGTAGACAGAGAGGACAGGGCCTGGGGCAGGCCACAGAGTGGGCGGAGGTGGGGGTGGGGAGCAGGAAGGGAGGTGACAGGTGCGTCCGGCCCAGCCACATGTCCAGGACATGCTGGCCAGGGGCAGTTGGTGGTGGCCGTGTGAAGGTGGCCTCCAGCAGGGCAGGTCACTCAATGGCTGGGCTCCAGGCTTGGAGGCTGGGTCCACTCTGCCCCGCGGGGTCCATCCATCCACACTCTACCCCGTGGGGTCTCTGCAGGGGGGTGTCCAGGATCTCTGGGGTCCCGTTAGTGTGTGGGGCCCCCTGCAGGCCGGCTCGACAGCCATCACCCCTTCCTGGGCCCAGAGGTCCTTGGAGGGGCCATCTCCCCCCTGGCCCATGGCAGCCCGGGGAGGGGGCTTCCCTTCTCCATCCAGCACACCTGGGGGCGTTGTTGCTTAAGTCAAAGACCCCGTGCTGGGAGGGTCCCTCTCCTGAGATCGGACCTGCAGAGGCGTGCCGCGTGGGCAGTGGCCGGCTGGTCTCTGTGAACACCCTCGGCGACACTCTCACTTGGCCGCTGGCCGGTCAGCTTCGCTCTGCAGCAGGAGGCTGGGGGAACGCGTGTGGCTCAGGCCCTCGGGGGTCACGCAGCTCTGGGGCCGACTCGTGAACACCCTCGGTTTCCCGCCACTGCCCGGTGTTCTCCCTCCACGTGTGGCCGTGTGCTGGTGGCTGCGTCTCTCCTTGTGATGCTCGTGCCCACGGGGTCGCCCTCCCCAGCAAGGGCTGGGCACGACTCGGCTGGGGGTCGCTGAGGGGTTCACGAGTGCTCGTCAGGCATCGCCCCTGCCTACAGGACCTGCACATGCATCCTTGGGGGGCGACCGGGAGACACGTGCCTCGGTCTTGTGTCTGAGGTCACAGACTGTGGTCCCAGGACATATGTGGGTGGCACTGGGCGGCCAGCTCAGGGTCTTCAGCTTCAGGGAAGGGGCGTCTGGCCACCGAGCCCACCTGACCTTTAAAGACGGGGACCAGAGGTGCTGCACCCTGGGTTAGCACAGCAGGGAGGATGCTTGGCTAGCTGGGTTTGATCCCTGCACTGCGAAATCTTCCCTGAACCCGTCAGCAGTGGTTCCTGAGCACAGAGCCGTGAGTCAGCCCTGAGCACTGCCGGGTGTGGCCCAGGAACCAAATGAAACTGCACATCTTATGATGCCCTGGGCCCTCGGCGGGCGGCTGCGTCCTGAGGCCTCAGTCCCCTCACCTGGTGGGCTGCGTACCCCCAGGCCTGCGCGGGGCCAGCCCAGCAGTGCTCCAGCTGGCGGAACTGGCAGTGCCCGGAGCAGACCCCTCCCTGCCTCCCTCCCGCTGCCCAGATTTGGCTCTGGAAAATTCCCTGGTAAACAAGAGAAGGCAGAAATATGCGGGAGATAAAAGTTCAGCCAGTCAGGTGGGCGGGAGGAGGAGGAGCGAGGGGAAGGCGGGGAGGAAGGAGAGGAAGAGGAAGAAGGAAGGGGAGGAGGCTGGGGAGGTGAGCGTGACCCCAGCTGCAGGGGAAGGCGCCCGGGGCTCCGAGGAGCTGGGCAGGGCCAGGCGAGCGGCCCCAGAGAGCCCACAGCCCGGCCTGCACCACTGACCACACAGACATACGTGGGGGTGGGCAGACCCCGCCCCCGCCCCCTGTGGCTGAGAGAATTTCTGAGTGGAACCGTGAAAAGGCCGAGCAGGGGCATCCCAGTGTCCGTCCTGGGGCCTTTGCCTGGGCAGTGGCCCCCATGCTCTGCCCCCCGGGAGTCCTGTGCTCGGAGCAGAACAGTGACGTGGAGACAAAGTGTACCCAAGCACTGAAATGTCTCTGGATTTAAGAACAAGTTTTACAGACCAAAGCCCTTGTTTCCCCGTCTGCAACGGGTCAGGGTGGGCCTCTCCCGGGGCCCCCACGAGCGAGCCACTGTGCTGGGATCGACTAGGAAGCCGCCAGTTCCGGGCCGCAAGGGACCTTTGCGGGGTGCCGCTGCCCCCTGCTGGCCCGCGCGGGAAGGACGCCCCATCCCCCCCCCTGCCCCCAGGTCTCGGTTTTCCAGGAATTCTCTGTCCCGCCACAGACACTCCGGGAGCGTGTAGGTGACCCGCGAGCACTGTCCTGCACCCGAACACTCCCCCCGCCCGCGTCTCCCCCGTCCTCATGGGCTGGGCCGCGTACGTGACTGTGGGGCTCACAGTCCCCCTGGTGCCGTGGGGGTCCCGGGCAGGCAGGCGGGAGTGAGGTTTGTGCGTCTCCTGTGGCAGCTCTTGTGTGGCCTTGCTGGGCAGCCACAGTTACGGCTGCGGGCAGGGCCTGTGGGATGCACAGTGCTCGCACGGACACACGTGCTCACACACTGCTCATGCACAATGCGTACACGGACACACATGCTCAGACATGCACATACATGCTCACAGTGTACATGTGCTCACAGATGCACATATGCTCACACACAGAGTGCTCTCACATGCACACATGTTCACACACATGCACAATGCTCACATGCACAGTGCTCACACACGTGCTCACACATTTACACATGCTAGCACATGCACACACGTGCTTACAGTGCACACATGCTCACACGTATGTGCAGTGCTCACACATGCACGCACAGTGCTCGCATTCATGGCTGCACCCCACTTCCCTGTGGGGACCTGAGGTGCGGGGGCTGGGGGCTCCGGAAGCCAACAGGGGGCCCGCCCCTTCCGCAGACCGGGGGGCCTCCATTCTGGGACCCCGTCTCTGCCTCCACCCCCTTGCATCGGCCAAGACCTCTGCGGGGGGGAGGGGAGGGTGCCAGGGCTGGGGTCCTGGCTTTGGCGAGACGCCCCCGGAAGGGAGGGAGGGTCGGCCCGGGGCGAGGGGGCTGTGTCCCTCGAGGTCTGGCTGACTGGTGACAGGGGGCGTCCCAGGGCAGCAGGGGCCAGGGTTGGGGCGGGGTCTGCTGTGGTGCTGCTTGCCAGCAGGTGTGTGGCCTGGGGGTTTGTGCCGAGTCATGTGACCTGTCCGAGAGAGCACCAGCCCCCCGCGTGCCTCCTTGTTCCGGAGAGCGGAGAGCGGGTTGGGTTGGAGCAGGGAGGGGCCGGCGGGGACCCCCAGGAGCCTGAGCTGGCCGCGGGGCATGTGTGGCTGCCTGTTGCCCTCCCCTGGCCTCGGGCAGTGCTGACACCAAGTCTCCTCCAGCCAGGCTGCCTGTGTCTTAGTTGCTAGTTCTTTTTTTTTTCTTTTTGGGTCACCCCCCCCCCCCCCCCAGCGGTGCTCAGGGGTTATCCTGGCTCTGCACTCAGGAATCTCTCCCTGCGGTGTTCGGGGATGGATGGGATGCCAGGGGTCGAACCCGGGTTAGGCGCGTGCAAGGCAGACGCCCTCTCCGCCGTGCCGTCGCTCGGCCCGTCTTTGCTTTTTCAGGCTGCCCTGGGGAGGAGTCGTGTGGAGCGGGGTGCGACTGTCCGACAGCCTTTCCCAGGCGGCCTCAGCCAGCCGGGCCTGGAGCGTGAATGAAGCCACAGCGGCCTGCCCGAGGCAGCGGGCACAAGTCCCACCCAGCTCCAGCCGGGCGTGGCCGGAGGGTGTCGCGGCTGCCACCCCCGCAGTGGGAACCACAGCCCTGAGGCCGCCCCCAGGAGGCCGAGCAGCCGTGGGGGACAGTGTTGTCACCCAGGACCACTGTGCCGGGCCCAGGCCTGAGGCCCTCGGTGGCCCCCTGGTCGTTCCCGGGTGCCCGCTGCCTGCAAGCAGGGCGCGTTCTCGTTTGTCCTGTGGGAAGTCGCTGGAGGACCCAGGGGCTCCTGGGGCTCGCGTGGGTCCCCACCCGTGGGCATCACTACGGGGGCTGAGGGGACTGGGGGCAAAGGGCGGGCGTCTGTGTGCAGTGCACGTATGTGTGTGTCTGCCTGCATGTCTGTGCCCAGGGAAGGGCTGTGCGGCTCAGAACTGCACTGTGTAACATAGTGCATGTTTGTCACACGCCTCGTGCATGTGTCACCCATGTAGCATGTCATCCGTGTAACATGACACGTGTCCGTCACAAGCCGGGTGCACGTGTGTGTCACCCCTGCAATTTGTCACCTGTGTACCATGTCAGCCACATGCCCGTGTGCGCGTGTGTGTGCAGGAGGGAGCGAGGTGCCAACGTGTTCCCTGGTCTCTCCCCGGCTGCCCCACGCGGGGTGGTGTGGGGGGCATCGGGCAGCCTGAACAAGGGGGCTGGTCCCTCTCTCGGCCTCTCTCCCGTGGCAGCCGGGCATTGTGAGAGGTTCGTGCCTGGTCGTGGACTCAGGCCCCGGGGCTTGGGGGCTGGTGTGTGTCTCTCCAGGTGGGGGTCCTGCACCACAGCTGGCTAGAGTTCTTGTGAGAGAGGAGGGACCATCTTCTGGGTGGCTTAAGACGTGCAAGGCACCCGGTGATGCCCTGGCCTTGTCGGGTGCCCGGGTTCCACAGACCCTGTGCCCTATGGCCTCTGGGGCACAGTCTTGGAACTTAGGAAGCTGCTTTTATCTATTTTTGCTTTTTAGGTCACACCCAGTGATGCACAGGGGTTTCTCCTGGCTCTGCACTCAGGAATTACCCCTGGCGGTGTTCAGGGGACCATATGGGATGCTGGGAATCGAACCCAGGTCGGCCGCATGCAAGGCAAACGTCCTACCTGCTGTGCTATCACTCCGGCCCCCAGGAAGCTGCTTTTATTACTCAGTGGTCCGTGCTGGGTTCCACAGGGCCCTGCCACGGAATCTTCCTTGGCTCTCTCTCCTCATCTGCTTTGCTCGGGGACCCTTCTGTGCTCAGCTCTCTCCTGGTGGGTCTCAGAGTCCTGGGATTGACCCCGGACCAGCTGTGTGCAGGCACAGCCCCTGCTCTCGGGCCCGGGAATCATTCTTCTCTCCTGCAGACTGGCCAGAGTTCCCTAAGGGTCTCACAGCCTGGGAAGGAGCCCTAGAGCAGCCGGCGCTGGCCTGGCTTAGTGGGGTGGCCCGTGGGGTGGGGGCGCAGCGTCCCCCATCCCGGGAGTCGGGATGGAGACACCCTGGGGCTGCCCACTCTGGCTGCGCCGGCACTTTGTGCTGGTGAGGTTGCGGCCCTGGGCTGTGCGACCCTTCCCGTGCGCATGAGCCCCCCCCCCCCCCCCGGTGTTGGCTCTGCCCACTGTCATCTCAGTCCCCTTTGTCCACTGTCCCCCCCCCCCCCACACACACACACAGCAACGGGCTCAGTCCTGCAGCCCAGCTCTCGGCGGCGGCTGCCTCTGACTGCGGGGGGCTCCGTCCTGTGGACAGGAGACACTTGGGACTGTCCCCTCTGGGCGACCCCCTCGGCCAACCATGTCGTGACCAAGCGCCTGAGCTCCACGCTTGCTGGCCTGTCCCTGCCTCGCTGTCCGCAGGGCTGCCGTGATCACTGGGGCTTGGCTGTCTAAAAAGAGGCTTTCGCGGCCCGGGGCTGTGGCAGGCCTGGAGCTTGACCCTCACCCGGCCCCTGGGTCTGCCTGGGGTGGGGTGGGGTGGGGGGCCAGCCCCTTCCCGGCCTGCGCGTACGTGACTCCTGGAGCGTGGGCGTGTCTGGGGCTGGTGTGGGGTCCACGGGTGCCCTGTCCCGGGAGTTTGGGGTTGCCTGGGCCTGCACGGTGCCTGCTCCCCCTCCCGAGGACAGGGTCCTCAGGCCCTGCCCCGTCAGAATGCCAGCGTCTTGGGCCATCTTGTTCCTCGGGCCACAGCCGGGGCTGTGTGAGGGTTGAACCGGGGTCCCCCGTGGAGCATGTGCAGGGCGTCCCCTGCGTTGGCAGGAGGGGACACAGGCCTGTGCCCGCCTCTCTCCCCCGCCCCCCAGGCCTCTGCCGGGCTCGCATGTCTGACCGCACGCTTGTCCCCGGCAGGTCTGCTGGCCATCAGGGATGCCCAGGACATGGAGTCGCGGCTGAACGAGGTGGAGAAGCTGCTGGCCACCATCGTGGGCATGCCATGCAAGGTGGGCCGGGCCACGGGCAGGCGGGGAGGCTCCCGGGGAGGGGGGGGCAGGACACGCCCAGCACGGCCTCCCTGGGGCTGCGGGCGGGTGGGGGTCCTCCCCTCCAGGGCTGGCGGCCCCTCTGTGTGTCCCCTGGGGCTGCCTGGAACTTTCCCCTGGGGCTGAGCCGCCTCTGAGCCCGGGGCGGGCGTGTTGGGGACGGCCACCCCCGGCCACTGATGGCACCTCCTGCCCCCAGTACTCCAGGTCGGAGGTGGTGCTCACCTTCTTCGAGCGCTCGCCCCTGGACCAGCTGCTCCGGGATGACTCGGTGCGCAGCATCCAGCCCAGCTTCCAGAGCCCCGGCAGGATCTCAGGTGACGCTCCTGGTCCGACAGGCGGGGACACGCACACGGCAGGTGGAGCATCTGTGCGCCAGAGCCAGGACTGACTCCGGCTCTCTGTGCTCAGAGCTGGCTCCAGCTCTGTGCTCAGGGCTCACTTCAGCTCTGTGCTCAGGGAACACTCCCGGCTCTGCTCAGGGCTGACTCCTGGCTCTGTGCTCGGGGCCGACTCCTGGAGGTGCTTGGGGTACACAGTGTGGGATTGGACTTGGGGCCGTCCATGCACAGGGCAAGTGCCTCGATTCCTGTGCTAATTCCGGCCTCACCATCCCAGGCCTGCAGGGATCCTGAGACTCAGCAGCGAGAGGATTGGGACGAAAGCGACAGCACGGTGGCGAGGGCCCTGGGCACAGCTCCCGGGGACTTGTGGATCCTCGGGGCCGGGATGGGCGTTTGGGGGACCCAGCCCTGGCTGCTGTCGTCATGGGCCTCTGCACTCCCCTCCTCTTCCGGGCAGGGAGATGCGCAGGGGACAGCCAGGTGGCGCCAGGCACCCGTGGCCGCAGGATGCTGCCCTGGGCCACAGCCGGAGTCCGGAAAGGTTCCTGGGGTCTCAAGACCCGCCACCTGCAGACTCTGCCTGTCCTGGGGAAGGGATGGGGGAGGCGGGCCAGGGATTCCTGCATCCTCCCGTGAGCCAGGAGCCGGGCGCAGCCGTGGGGGCGTTCAGGTGTGCTGCACGCCCCACAACCCCCTTGTTTATGAGAGAAGGGGGGGGTTAGTCACGGCTGGGCGGGGCCAGAGTCGGGCCCTGACTGGGGGTGCAGAGGGGCAGGTGGGCTCAGCTCCACGGCAGGCGCCGAGGTGGCTGGTGGGCGGAGGCTCAGGGAGGAGCCGGCCTTGCGTGTCCACGGGCCGTGGAGGGGGACGGGCCACTCCCAAGAGAAGCAGCTCCAGCCCCTCCCCCGGGACACGGCGCAGCCCTTGGTGGAGCCTGAGTGCAGGGTGGGACGGGGCACCCAGAAGAGACCTGCGCACAGGGCCAGAGGAGGGCAGGGGGCAGGGGGCAGGGGGCAGGGGGCGGGGCCAGGCTGTGTTTCACACCAACAGGCGCCTCACCTTTCTTCCAGATGAGTTGCATCGGAATTGACTTTTACTTTTGGGGGGGTTGTTGGGGTGCGCAGGGCTCACTCCTGCTCTGTGCTCCGGGGCCACTCCTGGAAGCGCTCAGGGGACGCATAGGGAAGGAGAATTAGCTTGAGTCAGTGCGAGCAGAGGAAGTGCCCTACCCACTGAGCCATCTCTGCGGCCCCTGAAGTCACCTCTTCCTACACACACACACACACACACACACACACACACACCCCTAGTGGTGAGGGGACGAAGACACTGGCCCCAAATGTGGGCGGGGGAGGCTGTGCCCGGGAACGGAGGGTGGAGGGACGGGCGCCAGCCCAGCTTCAGAGTTCCAGGCTCACCCGCCTCATTTTCTTTTCAGAGATCATGAGGTCCAACGGGTTCTGTCTAGCAAACACGGAGACGATCGTCATTGACCCCAGTTTACCGAACGGGAAGGACCAGCACCGGGGCCCGGAGCCGGCCGAGTGCTTGTGAGTGAGGCCAGGGCGGGAGGCACGCAGGGGCCGGGGAAGGGGTGAGGGACAGGAGAGAGGGGCTCTGTCACGCGCTGCCCCACTGTGGGCGCCGGGCCCGTCTCCCTGCTGACCGGAAGCCCCAAGCCTGCCTTCTCCTGCAGCTGTGGTCAGCGCCGCCTCCCCTCTGACCTTCCCGTTCTAGGTTTGAGAGCGACGGCGACTGCCCCCTGGAGCTGGAGGACGGTGACGACCCCGCCACCTACGTCACCAACTTGTCTTACTACCACCTGGTGCCCTTTGAGACGGACATCCTGGACTGAATGTCCCTCGGGCCTGCCCTCTCCGCCGGGCCCCTCAGCCCTGCTGGTGTCCACTGGCACCCCGGGGACGGGGCGGGGGCACAGAGGGGCCTCTGCAGCTTCTCTGCCCGTGCGCAGGCCCTTCCCGCCCCCACGGGCCGCATAGCCAGGCGGGGACAAGGCCAGTGTGTCATGTGAGACACCGCGCTCTGGGCACGTGCAGTGACTCGGGGCATCCCTGGGGCCGGGCCCCGGGGCTCTCGTTTCTGTTTCTCATGTTCTGTCTGGGAACTGGGCCTGGGGCCAGCCAGAGGGAAGGAGGAAGAGGCCCGGGAGGCACGAGGGTGCCGGACACGTAGGCGTCTGACAGGCGAAACGGTTCCCTCTTTTGGGCCGCTGGGGCCTGGGTCGGGGCTGGTGCCCACTGGAGCCCGGGGGCTGGGGCCCGGGGAGGCCCTCTGCCTGTTGCCTGCTCTCCGCAGGGTCACTGCTGGGCTGTCCTGGCCTCCCCAGGCCTCCCCTGCCCTTGAGGGGCCCATTGGGCCGCATTTGCTCCTGTAAATACTAGTAAGTTATTGAGAGAATCCGAATTCTTTTACACAGTCTGTTTGTAAATCTATTTTAATGGAATAAATGTGTTACTCGACTTTTGCCTACTGGGGCATGGGCGCTGCTCATTGGCTCCCCGTGGGGGGACGGGACGGGACAGGGCTCCTCGGTGCTGTTGGTTGGGGGTGGGGGGTAGATGGTCCGTGCCGGACAGCAGGGGCGGGGGACAGGGCCGGATGGCAGCCGGGCGCATGGCTGGACTGGCTGGGCTTGGCTTCTCCCGCTGCGTTCCGCTCTTGGGTCCCTGTGGAACCGCCCTTCTCCCAGCGCAATGACCCCGCGGTGGCCAGGGGCACAGAAGCGTGTGACTGTGTGTCCCTCGCCTGCCTCAGCCGTACCTGCTCACAGTCCTTCCCGAAGGCAGTAGGTGGCGGTGAGGAGACCAGTGTCCCTTGGTCTTGTTGGCTGATGGTTGCTTGCTGGTCGGACTCCGGGCCTCCTCCAGGTGGTCGCCCGCCCACCCACCATCTCCCGTTTCGGCCCCTAGGCACTGCCCCGGCTGCCTGGTTTCCCGGGGATCCCGTTCGCCACGGGGACCCGGTGCTGCCCGTCACACTCGCCTGCTTCCCCTCGGGGCGCGTCAGGGTCTCCCCGTTGGGGTGCGGAGCGGGCACCCGCCTGCCTTTCCCGGCAAGCACACGAGCACGTTTTCTGGTGCTTGTTTTCCTCCTGAAATGACCACGACTACCGCCGGGCCCTCTCGGTCCAGCCTCCCTGCCCCCGCGCCCGGAGCCACAGGGACAGACAAGCTGGTGCCGGGGCTGGGGTTCCACCTGCAAGCGGGCGGTGGGGAGGCCCAGAGGCTGCGGAGTCCGTGGCAGGACACTCGCCTGGCAGCAGGGGGCGCCCTCGCCCGGGCCTCGGCGAGGCACATTCACTTCACCCTTGCAAACTACGAAGGAAGCACATGCACCCACAAGCGTGCTCTCCAGTGTGTGAGGCGCGGTCGGTGGACGGGTCCACGTCCCTGTGAGAGCTGCGTGGGAAGAACAACACGCCTGTCTCAGCCGAACTCCAGGCTGAGGGCCCGAGCACTAACCATTTGGCTTCCTGTCCTGCACACCCGCCCAGTGCTGGGCCCACCGTTTCGCCCCGTGGGTTCGGGCAGGCCTGGCTGGCCTTGCCCGGGCTCCTTGAGGCGGAGCTGCTGGGGACTCCGTGGCAGGCAGGGACCCCCAGTCCCTCGACCCGCAGGTGGTGGGCCCAGGACACTGAGGCAGGGAGTGCACCCGCCCGTCTTCATTCTGTTCGCTCCTGTCCCTCTGGCGTGCGGGAGGTTGGCTGAGGCGCCAGGCCTGGACGCGTGAGCAGTGTGGGGCCGGGACCACCATCAACACATTTTGTGTGTGTGTGTGTGATGTCATTTATTGGCTATTCTGAACCGATCCAGGCATCGCAAACAGGACAACTTTCTTTCATTTATTTACATTTTCTTATTTTTATTTGTGAAATTCCAAAAATCAAATCACTGATACACCCTTCCAAAGCTCTTCGTGATCGGGTTTCAGTCCTACAGTGTTCCAACCCCCGTCCCTCCACCAGGACACATTTCCCAGCACCAGTGACCCGGGCCCCCTCCCATCACCCCCCACCCCTGCTTTCCTCTAGAGCAGGTGTTTTTCTCCTCTCTCTCTCCCCCTCTCCCCCCCTTTCCTCACCCCCCCTCTTTTTTGGGATTGTGGTTTGCAATCCAGATACTGAAAAGTCACCAGGAATATCCCGTTGCCTACTTTTAACACTCAGCTCTTATCCCACGTGATCGTTCCAGCTATCATAAACACGGACGCCTTCACCATCAAATTTCGACGCGTATCTGCATGTCTGGTGGCGCTCGAGGGGCTGATCGGCCTCCCGGTCCTTCAGCAACAGGCCGGGGTCAGTTCCGCTATTCCCGAGCAACTTCTGCTGTCAGGATGCACTCAGGGCTCGGGCCTGGCCATGTGAGAGGCTCAGGGCAATGGAAACCCACAGGGGTCCGGCCCCCAGGGATACGTGGGGGCACAAGCGGGGCCGCGTCTGAGACGCCCCCAAGTCCCTGGCACCCGCCTCCCAGAAGCAGAGAGTAGAGAGCGGGAGGGAAGCCAAAATGCTTGTGGCCACACGCACACCCCTTGGGGGGGGGGCACAGTGTCCTGAGCTGAGCCCTCACCCCCAGCCCTCAGCCGCCGGGAGGGAGCAAATCCCCCTCGGCCCCGCGGCATGGTCGGGAGTGATCATGGACACGGGAGGGCAGCAGGAAGGACTCGCCTGCCCTGCGCGGGACGGCTCTTCCCCATCACCCCGGCCAGCGTCCGGTGTCTCGGGTCGAGGGAAGGAACAGCAGAAGGAAGGGAAGGAAGAGGAGCGCAATGTCGCGTTTCACATCTTGGTGGTTTGGGGGCCACACCTGGCAGTGCTCCGGGGCCACGCTGCTCTCGGGACTCACTCCTGACGGGGCTCTAAGGGCCCTACAGGATGCCGGGATGGACCTGGTCAGCCTTGGGCAAGGCAGACGCCCTCCCCGCCCGACTCTCGCTCCGGCCCGGGTCGGTGCAGTTGAAGGGAAGGGCCTTTCGCGGGGCTCAGGACACGGGCGTGGAGCAGACGCTGCCGCCTGAGCCGGTGTAGACGGTCGTCTCCTGGCCACACTGGAGAAGTTTTACTTCCTGTCTCTGGGTTGCTAGAAAACCAGGCAAAAAATGAACAAAACAAAATCAGAAACTCTCACTTTTGAATCTCCTGTCTCTGATTTTCTTCATAAAAGACAATCAGCTTCCGGTCCCCCAGGGCAAGGCCTGCAGCCAGCCTCTGTCTGCCCACCGCTCCCAGGAGAGTTCAAGCCCCCAGGGGGACCGGGAGACAAGACCGAGGTTCGAGCGCTGGCCTCCCACGTGGCCTGCCTCAGACCCTGCTGCATCAGGAGCAACCCTGAGCACAGAGCTGGGAGCAGTGACCGCTGGGCATTATCACCTGCCCCTGGAAAAAAAATAGTTTCAATCCAGGGATACAGCGGGGAGCGGGGAGGGGGGGGTTCCACACACATCCGTGCTCTGAGCCACTTTGAGCCCGTAGCCTGCGGACGCCTGTGGACGCCAGTGGGGGCCCGGGAGTTAGAAACGGGACAGCAGGAGGCCCCCGCTGAAAGCTGCGTGCTGGTGTGGGCTGCCTGCCAGAGGCCTGAGCCTAAGAGGAGGTGAGGGGGGGCCCAGGGACCACTTTGTGCTGCTCCAGCACCCTGCAGGGTCTGAGCAAGGAGGCCCAGCCAGCACCCTGGGATCAGGGCTTGTTCTCCCGGGGAGTCTCTCGCGACTTCATCTCCAGTGGAAGGGGCAGGGGGGCTCCCTCCCCGGAGGAGGGCAACGAAGGGGAAGGGGGTGCTCGTGGGCTGATTGATGCTGCAGGGGGCCGGGGAGGTGGGCTTCCCAGCTCCAGCGTCGGCGTCAGCGTCACCAGCGGGGCCTTTGCGCCCAGGGCACCCTCGAGGGGGCGTCCACGCCCCAGCAAGGCCTGTCCCTGCGGGTCTCCGGGGGCTGTGGCCCAGCTGTCCCCACTGCCTCAGGCCCAGGTGCGCCTGGGGCTCTGGGTCCAAGGTTCCGACTCCTTTTCCTTTGTTTCGTCTGCAACGCCCCCCCCCCAAAAGGTGTCACCTCCAAATAACTCCCAGCCCAAACAATCTGTCTGTATGGGAATAAAGTTGGAGTGATAAATGGACTCTGTCCTAAAGATGAGAACGCCATTCGGGTCTCCCAAAGAAGAATAGAAAGAGCTATGCTTGGAATATCACGTTTCACTCAAATGAGAGAACGAATCCGGAGTTCCAACATCCGTCGACGATCAAGGATCAGGGACGCTGTCTCATTTGCCAAGGTGTCGAAAATCAGATGGACTGGTCAAATGGAGATGTTACTGGCGCCCGCTCGAGCAAATCAATGACTAATGGGAAGTTAAGTTATTGGTTAAGTCCTAAAGTTCCAAGGGGCTGATCCCTCTGCACCATTTACTTGCCACAACTGTTCTGATAATCAGTCTGAGCTGGAGGAGGAAGGAGCTGCGATGCTCAGGGCTCAGTGCTCCGGCTGGGTGCTCTCCCCCTTCCTCCCTCTCCCTCTCTTCCTTTGTTTCTCTTTTTTCTTCCTTCCTCTTTCTTTCTTTTCTTTCTTTCCTTCTTTATTTCTCTTCCTCTCTTCCCTCCCTCCCTCGCTTCCTCCCTCCTTTATTTCTTCCTCCCTCCTTCCTTCCCTCTTTCTTCCCTTCCTTCCTCCCTCCCTCCTTCTCTCCTTCCTCCCTCCATCCCTTCCTTCCTTTGTTTCTGGGGGGCCACTCCTGGCACTGCTCTGGGCTTACTCCTGACTCTGTTCGGTTGGGGACTGAGAACCCCGAGCCCCGTGCAGTGGGGGACTGACCCCCACGGTCGCCGCTGAGCTGTGGCTTCATGAGAGCCAGCGCCAAACCCCCCTCTCTCTGCCCCGACTGCCCGGGGTGGCTCGCCCAGACTCTGGCGCTGATGTTCACTGCCGCTGCTCTGGGCACTGCCCCGGTCCACGTTCCCGTGCGGGTCGACGCTGCTGTGGAAAGTGGCGCAGGCCGAGCCCAGAGGCTGTGTGGCCTCAAGGGGACAGTCAGGCAGCCCTGTCCCCCCCTCCCCCGACAAGTGCGCCTTCTTGGGAAACCTGCTGAACCGGGCTGGCTGGATCTCAGGGGGGTCCTGCAGCCAGGAGCCGCAGCAGGTGGACCCCAGGGCCTTCCCAGGAAACAGCCCCCCTCCCCCTGCAGCATGGCCCCTGGTGCTGGCACTCTTGGTCTCCCTGCCATGCAGAGTGGCAAGGCCGGGCCCGTCAGCTGGCTCGGCTCGAGGTCTCCTCTGAGCCTGAATCATTTATGGGCGCTGATGAATCATTCAGGACAGGGCGACGCGGGCAGCCCGGCGTATTAGTAAGCAGGCGGCCGGTGTGAGTGGGCTTGGCAGACGGCAGGCACCAAGTGTGCTGGGCCGGTTCTGGGGGCAGCGAGGAATGAGGGCCCGATGACGGGGCTTCGACCCCACAGCCCAGAGCATAC